GTAACAACACCTTTCTAATACAATCGCATTTCCCTCATATTTTTACTAAATAACATAATGTAACTTTTCCCTTCCTTTACCAAAGCCCTTACAAACACATAAAAGGTGATCAGTTACAGCACGCACATAGCCCAGCTTTGTGGTTGTTTATTCGGGGGTGGGGGGGAAATTGTTTAAGCCATAATGGCCAGTCAGTACTCTAAACAAAATCACTTCATTTGTCCAATCAAGGCCTCGAAGTATGTCCTTATCCTCAACTCTAGAACACAATTCAAAAATTCCTCTTCCTCTTTTTTCATTGATCCAAATTTTTGGCCATTCCTCTTTTAAATTTTTCTTCACTAGGCTTTTGAATTGCTGTTTACTCAAGGGTATTTCTGTGTCAGTCCGTCCATTTCTTACAGCGCTTTTAGCTGCCTTGTCCACCATTTCATTCCCTGTTATCCCAATATGTGCTGAGATCCCAACTAATGCTACCTGTATCCCCATCTGTACTAACTCTATTTAGTGCTGTCAATTAATCGCAGTTAACTCACGCTATTAACTCAAAAACATTAATTGCGATTAAAAAACATAATCGCAATTAATCGCATTTTTAATCGCATTGTTAAACAATAGAATACCAGTTGAAATTTATTAAATATTTTGGATGTTTTTCTACATTTTCAAATATATTGATTTTAATTACAACACAGAATACAAAGTGCACACTGCTCACTTTATATTATTATTTTTTATTATAAATATTTGCATTGTAAAAATGATAAACAACAGAAACAGTATTTTTCAATTCACCTCATACAAGTACTGTAGTGCAATCTCTTTATTGTGAAAGTTCAGTTTACAAATGTAGATTTTTTTTTGTTACATAACTGCACTCAAAAACAAAACAATGCAAAACTTTATTGCTTACAGGTCTTCTCAGTCCTACTTCTCGTCTAGCCAATCGCTAAGAGAAATAAATTTGTTTTACATTTACGGGAGATAATGCTGCCCACTTCTTGTTTACAATGTCACCAGAAAGTGAGAACAGGTATTTACATGGGACTTTTGTAGCTAGCATTGCAAGGTATTTACGTGCCAGATATGCTAAACATTCATATGCCCCTTCATGCTTCGGCCACCATTCCATAGGACATGCATCCATGCTGATGACGCTCATTAAAAAAATAATGCGTTAATTAAATTTGTGACTGAAGTCCTTGGGGGATAATTGTATGTCTCCAGCTCTATTTTACGCACATTCTGCTGTATATTTCACGTCATAGCACACTCAGCTGATGACTCAGCACATGTTGTTCATTTTAAGAACACTTTCACAGCAGATCTGACAAAACGCAAAGAAGGTACCAATGTGAGATTTCTAAAGATAGCTACAGCACTCGACCCAAGGTTTAAGATTCTGAAGTGTCTTCTAAAATCTGAGTGGGATGAAGTGTGGAGCTTACTTTCAGAAGTCTTTAAAGAGCAACACTCCAATGCAGAAACTACAGAACCTGAACCACCAAAAAAGAAAATCAACCTTCTGCTGGTGGCATCTAACTCAGATGATGAAAATGAACATGCGTCGGTCCACACTGCTTTGAATTGTTATCAAGCAGAACCCGTCATCAGCATGGATGCATGTCTCTGGAATGGTGGTTGAAGCATGAAGGGACATATGAATCTTTAGCGCATCTGGCATGTAAATATCTTGCGACACCTGCTACAATAGTGCCATGCGAAAACCTGTTCTCAATGTCAGGTAACATTGTGAACAAGAAGCAGGCAGCATTATCTCCCGCAAATGTAAACAAACTTGTTTGTCTGAGCGATTGGCTGAACAAGAAGTAGGACTGAGTGGACTTGTAGGCTCTAAAGTTTTACATGATTTTATTTTTGAATGCAGTTTTTTTGTACATAATTCTACATTCGTAAGTAACTTTTAAGATAAAGAGATTGCACTACAGTACTTTTATTAGATGAATTGACAAATACTATTTCTTTTGGGTATTTTTACAGTGCAAATATTTGTAATAAAAAATAAATATAAAGTGAGCACTGTACACCTTGTATTCTATATTGTAATTGAAATTAATAGATTTGAAAATGTAGAAAACATCCAAAAATATTTAAATAAATGGTATTCTCTTATTGTTTAACAGTGTGATTAATCACTCGATTAATTGTGATTAATTCTTTTAATAGCTTGAATCCCTAACTCTATTATTAGAAATATAATTTTATTGATTCAATGATTTGTACATATGAAGACAGCATTTTTTTATTACCGTAAGGCCTGATAACTAAGTCAAAAAAATGAACTAGAGAAATTCATGGAGGATAGGTCCATCGATGGCTATTAGCCACGATGGGCAGGGATGGTGTCCCTATCCTCTGTTTACCAGAAGCTGGGAATGGGCAATAGGGAATGGATCACTTGATGATTACTTGTTCTGTTCATTCCCTCTGAAGCACCTGGCATACTGGGCTAGATGGACCTTTGGTCTGATCCAGCATGGCCATTCTTATGTTCTTATGACTGCCACTGCTGGGCATACATTCCAGATCCAGTTTCAGTCCCTAGCTCCTTGGCTTCCCCCCTTTTTAATTCCTGTACCCAACCCAGGTGTGGCAGGGTGGAACTAATTAAACAGGACTGGCTACCCCCTGGCTTCCTGGTCCTGCAAAGATGGCCGGCCACCCTTTTACAACTATTCACATAATTTAAAGCATATGACCCTTGTCAGTTTACTTTTTAATTTTTTCTCTGAGTTTTCATGACAATTTTGTTATGTATTGTATTTATATTTTATAAATATTATTTGGGTGCCCTGCTGAGGAAGAATCTGACATCCAAAAGCACTACAGTGTGATTTTTAAAGAGTATGTATCATATTATGTCAACCTGGTAATACAATATACATCGCAATACTGAAGGTAAAAAACAGTTTCTATAAAAGAGCACAATTACAGTATGTGACTTGAAGCCTAAGAACACTATACAGAAAACAAAAACTAGAGACTATTTCAAACTCAATATCTTTGACATGGAAATCCTCATTATAGGGACATGATTTCCACCATACTTGATAGCATTTGGTAATGAGAAGAAAACATAAGACGGCAAAAAAGTCTATCCCTTCCCCAACTAAATCCTCTCTCCCTACAAAAAAGCCTGGAAGAGATGCTCAGTTGCTCTAACCCACATTTTGAGTTTGTTTCATTGCAATACAGAACTTTTACAGCATCTATAATTTCCCTTATCCTACAAAGACTTAAGAACATGCATATCTTTACATGTATGAGTAGCCCCGTTTACTTCAATTTGCATAAATATGCAAATATTTAAGTCTAAAGGATCAGGGTCTTGGTTTTCTAAGCCATCACTGCAGGAGTAACCATAGCCTTCCATTCTGACAAAATTATCTTTTGCTAGTCCAGCAGAGCCGTGTCACTAATACAAAGATTTGTAACCATGTTGATGGGGAGCCTTGAAGTGGCTTTCTAACATTAACAAAGATAGTATAGAAAAATGGTTCATAGAAACAATAACATGGTTGCTATAGAGGAAAAGTTGTGTCCAGTACCTCTGTCCCCAGACAAGTCCAATTATAGAACCGTAGAAATGAAGAGGCTGGATGGGACCTCCGGAGATCATCTAGTCCATCTCCCTCCCCATGCTGCAGCAGGATTAAACATACATAGACTATCCATGACAGGCGCTTGACAAACTTGTTCTGAAAAACCTCCAGTGACAGGGATTCCACCCCTTTTTTGGTAATCTGTCGCAATGCGTACTTATCCTTACAGTTAGAGAGTTTTTCTTAATATCGAACCTAAATATCCCTGGCTGTGAATTTATGGGAGCATTCTTGTAGCTACATCACACAGAATAACATCCTTTGACTTCAATGGGAGCTTCACACTTGGAGCATCTGCAGGACCAAGCTGCATAGGTATTAAATTCCCTGACCTGATACTGTAGCCCTAGCATTTGTGAGTAACAATTTTAGCTCTCATCGATTTTAAGTAAATCCTGCTCTTCCCACCACAACTCCTGTGTGGGCCTTGAGGACCTTCAGTAGAATGGAACTGATGTGGGTACATTGCACAGGGTGGCCAGATGCTGGGAGCATGCCTATGTAGCCTATGTTCAATGTGTTACACTTTCTTTCCTCAAAGTTAAGCACATGATTAAGCATTTTACTGCGTTGGAGCCTTAACACTGTAGTTAATGCCCAGTGATGGTGGTAGTTACACAAGGATTGCACACTTCTGCATACAATGGAGGAGAATCTGTGGGGCTGGTGGAATTGCAAATACATAGACCAACCAGAATGTTCAGGGATGCAGCACATGCATGGGCTACTGCATTCCTGCGTCTGGCAGAGGGGAAGAATTGCTTCCTCCACCTTCAATTACTGGTTCAACCTATGGTACACAGGCTTGGTGCAGGCTACAGGATTTGCCCAATTGTAAGTGGACAAGTAATTTGGGTTGATGGTTTTGAATTTAAGAGATCTTTGTCTCACATATGATGTGACCATTGTCATTTGCCTTTTGATACCTTTTCATATGTCATGACCTCACCAATATTAAGTGCTATAATCAGCTGGTACAAATCGGCATAGCTTCATTGACTTAGTGCGAGCTACACTGATTCATGTCAGCTGAGGCTCTAGTCCATTGACTTTTAGCTCCTTTGCCCAGCCATCTCACCAATGCTCAATGCACTTGTTTCTGTTTAGAGCAAGTAGTTTCCAGTATTCTCCTGTCTGTTTGAAATTAACTAACAATAGGATGATCTCCTTTTGAAAGTATTTTCTGAATATATTCTCATTACTGTGTTGCTATTAGTCTCATTTATGGACAGACAATACTTCATTCAAGCACAGTTGTTGGAATAGCAGTAATGCAATAAGGCCAAGCCCCTGTTACAGAAGTAAACCGTGCGGTAGTACTAACTGCCTACAGTCAGTTTATTATAGAAACTACTTCTATTTTACTTCCTCCTTTAGGCTCTTCAGACATATCAGAGTGATCCCGCCATGAGAAGGATGCTAAATCAGCTGTATTTCTACATCATGCCAGTATTTAATGTGGATGGATACCATTTTAGCTGGACCAATGTAAGTAGTTTGGCCAATGTTTCTGAAAACATATTAAGATCCAAAAGATGGAATGACTATAGACAGAAGTCTCATTTGAATGCTGTAATGATCTGATCCACCACTTTATTATATGTAACCTAAGGATATAATTGACTTGTAAAAAGTTAAAATATTGCACTGAGCATCTTCAACATAGATGATTTGTTATATGTACATAGTTGTTTTTATCAACATGTAGTCAATTATTTTCATTATTTTAAAAATTATAACTAGGATCGATTTTGGAGAAAAACAAGGTCAAAGAACTCACAGTTTCGTTGCCATGGTGTAGATGCTAATCGTAACTGGAAAGTGAAATGGTGTGGTAAGTCTGGAAATAACCTGAATGTGGACAACATTGTCATCCTGCATTTAACTGTCCAGAGCACTGAATAGATCAGAAAATTCTACAGCAGCAGTAGCCTCTCCCTAGTTAAGATTGAAGCTAGTGTCCCATTGGCCAAACCATGGCTCACGAGCCACATGCGTTAAAGTGCAGCTCACGGTGCACCCCCTGCCCATTCCCCATGTTCCAGACGGGGGTGGGGGGGGGAGCTCAGGGCTTCTACCCTGCAGCAGGGTAGTGGGGCTAGTGGCTTCTGCCAGAGATGACTGGTGCCTGCTGAGAGTGGGAGACACAATTTATAGGTTTGCTCCCCCGAACAGCCTAAATCACACACTCCTTACCCTCAGCAGCCCCCAGGTGTTAGCTCCATGTGGAGAGGCAGCAGCAAACAGCTGGGAGCTTTAGGGAGGGGCCGCTCCTTTAGCTTCACTGGGAGAGGCAGCAGCAAAAGCAACTGCTCTCCCTGCAGCTCCCAGCTGTTTGCTGCTGTCTCTCCCGAAGGGCGTAGCTCCCAGTTTGCCAGCTCCAGCAGCTGCCATGCAGGGAAGGGGTCCTGTAGCACCATGTGACTGAGCAGGGCCAGCAAACCCTGGCAAAAATCTTGGGGGGCACATGACCCCCTGTGCTCCCCCATGCATCGCCTCTGGCTTCTGCCCAGCGGGAGGGGGGTCTTGGGACCTCAGCCCCACAGGGCATGCCTGCCAGGGCTTGGGCCTTCAGCAGTAGTGGGGCTGAAGCCCCAAGCCCCAGCAGGCACGCCCCAGCTCTTGAACTTCTGAAGATTGTAACCTTTGTGGCTTGGAGGATCAGTAAGTTTGGCCACCCCTGCATTATATTGTAGGCTAGATTGTGAATGTTCCTCCTAACTTCTCAAAAAAGAAACCAAGTTTATCAGGTGCCACATCTCACCCCAAGGTAGAGTTTATCTGGGAAATTTGGTAGAAGTGGAGAAAGGAGTATGCATTAATTGCTTTGCACTGCTCCAGTGATGCAAAGCAGCTGTAAACCCAGTTTAAGAAGCCAATTAAGCCAGTTTTACAGCTTGCTTTGTGTTGCTAGAATGAGCTGGTGCACAATGGTGAACGTGGCTCATGGTGTTAACTGATCTGTTTGTTTGTTTTTAATTCCTAACTTTTTTTATTTATGTTTCTAAAATGTTTTGGCTTAGAGACTTCAGATGTTTTGCTGGCCTTGCTGAGACAAAGTATCTTTTAGTAGTTCAAGGTGGCTATTAGTGGAGGTTTATAAAAGAAACAAAGAGCTACTTTTAATTTTATAGAGATTAATTTTAAACTCTATTATATAAATATTTATAACAGAAACTGACCTAAATTTTGCTTTAATATAGATTAAGTTCAAAATAATGAAGCAGATTATTAGAAATGGATCCCTTGAACTGGAAATGGCATTTTATAATCTAGATTGTAGAGTCTTTATACATGTAAATGGGCATATACCTATATATTCAAGTAGTGGTGCAGTAGGTAGGACATTAGAGTGGGACTTAGAAGACCAGGGTTCTATTCCTTTCTGTTGTGTGGCCTTGGGTAAGTCTCTTCACCTGAGTTTCCCCTCCTTCTGAATTGTCTATTTAGACTGTAAATTCTTAAGAGCAGGAATTGTTTTTTATTATGTATTTATACAGTGCTTAGCACAACTTAAGAACGGCCAACTGGGTCAGACTAAAGGTCCATCTAGCCCAGTATCCTGTCTTCTGACAGCGGCCAATGCCAGGTGCCCCAGAGGGAATGAACAGAACAGGTAATCATCAAGTGACCCATTCCCAGCTTCTACCAAACAGAGGCTAGGGATACCATCCCTGCCCAATAGCCATTGATGGACCTATCCTCCCTGAACTTATCTAGTTCTTTTTTGAAAGAATGCCCTAAATCTGGGGGTCTGATCCATCTTGGAGCCTGCAGATGCTACTGTAATACAAATAATAAAAATAGTCTCATTACTTGCAGTGAGACTAGTTGCATGAGGAAATGCTCAGTCATTGCTAGGAGTAAGGGCTCCACAGTCTGCCATCTAGTGATTTGTTATTTTTATCTCTACATAATTTAGCAAATTTTATGGAGAAAATTAAATTGGGCAAGCAGTATTAATCATAGTGATGGCAAGTCAGGAAGGACCGAACAGAAACATTAGAAAATCCAGTAAAATACACTTACAGTTTTGGACACCATCTTTTGCATATATTATGAGCCCTTAAATCTACTTGTTTAAATTTTATACTGTTGCTTCCATTCCTCTTCTCCCATACTGCCTATCTTGTTAATATTTCTGCTTTTACCATCTCACTCCCTCCAACCCAATTCCCGTCTGTTACTTCCCACTTGTTTCCTGTGCTAGAGCCTAAAAATGGGCCCATGTTCTGAGCTGTGATAAAGAGGCACTCGACAGTGCTTAGGTGGGACAAGGCAAAGGCCATCTTTGTGCTCCCCTGATTTTGGACAAATCTGTGCTGTTCTCTGGAGCAATTTAGAGCAACTTTAAGGCTACTCTAAGACTCGTTTACACAGAGACATTCAGGAAAATTAATCCAAATTAACTAAATGTGTGAATTTCAAGTAGCTAAGTTAAACAGCGTTAAACCATGGTGTGGATGCTCTTATTCAAAATTAAAGTGGCCTTAATTTGGTTTAGCTTTCTCCATTTTGGAAGTGAATTAAGGTAAACTTAATTGATGACATTTTAATTCTGAGTAAGGGCATATACACGTGGGATTAATGTGGTTTAATTTTCCTGAGTGTCCTTGTGTAGACAAGCCCTAAATGGATACCTGTGGCCCCAAAGGGCTTTTCTGCCACTTTGGGATCACTAAGGGCTTGTCTACACTTGAAACACTTCACCAGCACAGTTGTAGCAGCTGTGCCAACTGTAGCATTTCATTGGAGACAGGAAGGGTTTCCCCATTGGCACAGGTAATACACCTCCCGAAGAGGCAGTAACTTGATCAATGGAAGAATTCTTCCATCAACCTAGCACAGTCTACATGGAGACTTAGGTCAGCTTAACTACGTCCATCAGGAGTGTGGATTTTTCACACCCTTGAGTGATGTAGCTGGGTTAATCTAATATTCTACTGTAGAACACCCCTAAATTGGACCACTGACTCCACTGGCTGCAGGGAGGGGGTTGGTATAGGAGCGGCTATAACAGGTCAATGCAACCTGAGAATCCCCCATGTAGGGGAGAGAGATTCCCAGAACTGACCCCCAGATTTAGGGCAATTTTAGGGTATAGATGCAAAGCCGAACTAATCCAAAGATACAGCCCATGCTGTTGCATCATTCTTTGCTTAAATTTATGACCACTAGCCACAGATATTTTGAAAAACAAATGTATGTGCACAAAAGAAACTATTGCTTTCACGTTGGAGTGGGCAGTTCTCTTGTCATATCATTGGAGGAATATTTTATTGTATCTTATATTATTATTAATACCCACTCACATTTTTTCAGTTCCCAATTGATCTATCTCAGTTTCCTTTAACTCCCTTGCCCCTCACCTCTGCATTGAAATACAAATTCCTGTTCCTTGGTTCTGGAAGACATTTGTCTTTTCTGAATGAGTGAAATCTTTCTTTTCTATGCAGAATGGATTTGTTGCCCTATAACAATGCTATCTGGACTGCTTTGTGTATTATAACTATTATTTATTTAGTGTCTGCAATGTCCTTTTCCCTATACAGAACAAAACCAACATATCCCTGCCCTGATGGGCTTATAGTTTAAGTCAGAATTCATTCCCCATGTTCATTCAGTCCTGCTCCTCGCTCCACCAAATACATAGACTGCTCCCTAATGAGACCCCAGTTCATCCTTAAAGGGACTTCTATACAAATAGCAATTTACTGATCTTCAGAACATCCCTTTGAAGAAAATATTTTTTTCAGAAACAAAAAATGAGATTGATTAGAAGTTCAGTATTTTGCCCAAGGATAAACAAATCAGTCAGTGAAAGAGACAAGATTAGAACTCTGAAGTTCCTTACTCCAAGTTGGGTGCTCAGTCTTCTCACTACCTTGACTGAAGTGGAGGTGAAGGATTATCATATTTCCATGCTTACATTGTCCTGATCTGCTTAAAGTTCTGCACTGTGAATTCTCATAAGGTAGATTCTAAAACTTCTTAATTGGGTCAGTTGTGTTTACAGTTTGGAGGCAGGGTTTGAAATCCATATGGGTGCCTCTGGGTATGTACGTTGTGAGCACAAATCCTATTTTTGTGTAGTACCTGCCCAAGTGTGACACCTAAATGGCTGGGTACCAGGAGTTTCTTTTTTGAATTAAGTGACACTGCTGTGCCACCATCTTTTCTTTTCTCTTCTAATGTAGCTCTTTGATGCTATATTTTACTCTGTTGCTTTGTAATCTGTGAAGACTGAAAAAGGAAATTTATCAGTGATCTTAGTAAATTTCACTTTGCAGCCTGTGGCTCATGGGAAACACAATTATTTCTTTAAGTTAAAGTATGGAGTGGGCAACCAAAGTCAACACTAGAAGCGGCAACAGTTTTAAAGTATAGAGTGTACAGACTGCAAGCTCTTTAGGACAGGGACTGTCTTATTACATGTGTGCATATAACACCTAACATAATGGTCTCCTGATCCTCATGCAGATCCATTAGGCACTATTTATAGTATAAATAATATTTAAAAAAAAAAACACTAGGCAAATACTTAGGGACAAATCCTTATCTCATAAACCAAACACAATTTAAAGGGCTTCACTAACACTTAGCATAGGGAACTGGGAGTTGGGGGCAGAATTTTCACCCAAGGCCTGCTATATAGCTGGGCTGTGTAGAAGATTACCTCATACTGGCAGAAGTAGGAGATGCAAGCAAGTTTGGGGCTTGTACTGTTCCTTATCTCACCCTTAATCCCACCTCAATGCTTCTGTACAAAAATGAGCTCTATTCATTTCAACACTTCCACACTGTGTGAACACAGCATTTCCAGTTTATTTTGGGCCTTGCACATCTGCAGTGTGTTCTGAAGGATTTGACTGTTTCAATAAAACACTGCAGGATACAAAAATCAGGCAGATAGAAATACAGTAAATGTCAACTATTTTCTCCTTGTGACTGTAGCTTTGACACTTGATAGTAGTTGACGTTTACTGTATTTCTCCCCCTCCCCCAATTCTGTCTGTAACTTTGAAGAACTTCCAGTATGGAAACTCGTAGTGAGCTCATTGCATTATCCGAAGTCATTCATTCACAGGACAACTTCATTATAAGAAGAGAGCTTAGAAAAATATATTCTTATACAGAGAGAGAGAGAGGGAGAGAGAAACTAGAGCCCGCTCTTCATCCTGTTTTCTGCACTGGTTCTATGTGAGGGAGGAGCCTTCTTCAGGGTTGTTCAGTCAGCATGTAGGCATTATTAAAACTAATTTATGGTATAGATATGGGTTTATCTGGAAGCAGGAGGTTACACCTTGTTTTTATTTATTATGGACAAGATTTCTGTCTGGCAATGAAAGTATAGTCATGTCAAGGCACTATTGAAATGCATTTTTAAGTTCCTCTCTTTAATCTACATTACCTTAAAAGTAGATCTGTTCTTCAAAACAATTTTCCTACAGTAAAGAACTGAACAAGAAAATTTTCTTACCATTGCCTATTTTGGCAAAAGTTGTGCAAAAAATTTGATGGGTTTCACAGAGAGATTGTTTGGTATTTTTATTTAAAACAAAACCAACAAACAATCTCAGTAGTTTCACAAGGTTTGGGGTTTTTTTTTTTAAATTGGGACACAGATTTTGCCTAAAACTAACCCGCCAGGCTAGACATTTGAGGATTTCCCCCCAACATACTAGAATGTTGAGGGTGGCAATAAGATGTCAGTGGCACCTACACCAGCCACCCCACCTGATTGTAGGGAGACAAGGCTAGAAAAAAGGGCCACGTCCATGGATCCCTTATGCTAGTGAGTCCAGACTTCTGGAACTGCTCCTTGGGATTATAGAGACAAGCCTTCAGGCTGCACTAATTTATGCCAGGGACCCAGGAGGCTGCAGGATCAGGAAGTGTGAAAGTCACCTCTGTACCCTTCCTCCTGAGCTGTACTGAGCACTTTTTAGCCTCAGCTCAGGTTCTGGGCTTAGCCTGAGGTAAATGAAGTCTGTTTTCACATGACAACTACACATTTTAACAGAGAGCTGCAGAGCAATAACACTATGACTACCAAATTCCTTGCTACTGCCAGGGTCTTAAGTACTTTTTTCATAAATTTCTTTTGTATGATAAGTGTCTTTCACTTTAAGTGGAAGGAAACCAGGGCTTTGCAGGAATCCTTAATAACATGAAATATAATAGTAATAGCTACTCAGCTTGATACCTAAAATGGGGTGGCACTTACAGAAGTGATGGAAAAAAGCTACCAGCCCCAACTGCAGATTCAAAAATGAATATAGCTAAGATCATGAGCTGGGATTTGAAAAGATAGCTATACTTAAGCAAACGTGGGTATGCAGTGGTTATGGTGAGGGCAGATGGTTTGCTCCCTGCAGAGCAGATGGCCACCAAGTCATCTAAGTCTCAAGAGCATCCTGTCTAAACGTCTTGTCAAATATTACAGCTACAAGAAATAGCTATTTTCCAGAGTCCCAAAGAGTTTGCACTTTCTTGATATTTCATCTCCAGTTACAGCATTAAATGAATCATGAAAATAAACATCTCCAATAGTAAACAGGGTAATCTCATAAGATCCTAGATTCTTATAATCCTACTGTAAACAGTGAAATTCAGTTTGCATGAAGAATGGAAGTTCTGAATTGGTCAATGTATTGCTATGTGCCAGTTGAAATTCCAGTTTCCTGGGGGAGGCCTGTGTCATCTTTGTGGCAAGGATATATGCCTAGTGGATAAAAATGCATTCTATTCCACTGATTTCTTGGCTGTTTGCTTCCATTCATTCTTTTCAGGTAGCAGGTTCTCTGTGTTTTCAGAAGTAGGATGGCAATTTGTGTGCTGTTTTTTAGGCTTCTCCATGAGCACAAGGTAAGCCAGAATTGGACCGTTACATGCGGTTTGTGAACGTTCACTGCTATTTTTCTTTTTCAATGTGTAGATGAGGGGGCTTCCTTTCACCCATGTGATGATACGTACTGTGGTCCCTTTCCCGAGTCTGAGCCTGAAGTAAAGGCTGTAGCTCACTTTCTTCGCAAACGCCGGAAACAAATAAAAGCCTATCTGTCTTTTCATGCATATGCTCAGATGTTGCTGTATCCATACTCTTACAAGTATGCAACAATTCCAAATTTCAGCTGTGTGGTAAGTGCAATAGTTCTTGGAGATTACATCCCTTCTATGCTATTTCTGTTATTGTTCAGAGAGCAGACCTGGTTCTCTAATACATCATATTTAACTATATTTATTTCAGCTCTATTTACAGTCTTATACTGGTTATGTAACCTTTATTCTAATTGAATTAATGGTGACTTACTTAGAACGGGATAGTTTCTTCCATCAATCTCTATAAAGTAATTTATAGGCTAATCAGTGGAGTTTTAATTAGTGTTATTGTAAATTATTAAATATTAATGGAAGCTGTTACTAAATCCCCATGCACCTAGCTGAAAGTCTATCTCTATATGTTTGAAAGAACTGAAGAGGTATAAATACTTGACAGAAAAAAGATTTGATATTTTAAAGTTTGAACTTATTAACAATATAGAAACCTATCAACTATTAAATTTCATCCAGAAATAAAGCTTCTAACCCCTAATATTGCAGCTCACTGAGCTAATACTGTTACCCCCTTTGATCTGAGCAATCTGCCAATATTTAAGGTCTTGTGGGTTGTTTCCTTTAGGAGAAATTGATGATGGAGTCAGGGGTTTTTCATGCAATCCTGTTTATTTACAAAACTTTTATAAAAGTCCAGTTTCCCAGACTTCGTATAAAATTAAACAGGGGACAGTTTCTTTGCTTACAGTACCAAGCCTCTTTTCAGCCAGCACTTTGCCCAAAGATCTCTCCCTCTTGACTTTCTCTCAAGGCCATATTACTGGTGCTTGTCTTGAGGTCTGCTTCTGTCCACAGACACAAACCCCTCCACCAAATAATACCCACCTGCTGTATTTGCATTTAGTACCCCACAAAACCCCTTCCACCCACATAGCTCAGCTTCTGACCAGTCTTTCCCGATGCCTCTTTTTTGGATTGTGGCTCCTATTATTTCAGCTATCTTACTCCAAAAAGGAGCTTAACAGCTCCTAACTTTTATCCTGAACGTAGGGCGCTATCATACTCACCAGCTTCACTTAGGTTTTACCCCTCCTCCATCATAATACAGTACAAACTGAATTCTCTTAGTTGCATGGATCTGGAGTATGGACTGAGGGGCTCAGCAGCATTTATTTGGGGGGGGGGGTATTAGGACAATTAAAAGATCTTTCCTGACACTATTTCTGTTAAGACTTAATTGCTCCAACTCCTGAAAATTTCCTGTGTCTGATGTCATGCTTGGGAAGTGGAGCAAACTATCAGTGATTCAAGAAGCCAGAACAGCTAAAAACAAGGATTATAAGGAGTTGCAGCATGACCAAACATTTAATTTGCAATGCTTCAAGATGTATTGATTTTCAATATTTAAAATATCTACCATAATCAAATATGGTAAGATTTCAGCTCACTTGAACTTTTGTGAAGAGCTGTACTGACGTGGAAAGCAGAATTATAATGAATCTTCCATCCCATTTATCTCTCTCCTGTGGTTGACTGAAAACGCTTTATTGGTCCAGATGGATTTCATGTGTTGAGGTTGGCCAGCAAGTGAAAGCTGTTCCAGGGGCCTCCACATGCATGAGGGGTTAGGAACATTTAGTGTAAATAGGGTCCTTAATTATTCCTGAGCAGAAAGCAAAGATGCTTCTGTCCAATTCACTACACACTAGTGTGCTGTTGTTTCAGTTAAAGTGGTAAATTATTCAGTGATGCTTTGAAACTGGAGTGCAGTATATTGGTAACAACGTGCATAGATATTCGGCTCCAATTTAGACAACTCCCTTATTAAGTTTCAATTGAAACCTGTTATGTTAAGATCTTTAAAGGGAAGTTGGACTTCAGTTATTGTTTGGTAAATGTCTGCACCAGTTATTTCAATCTGTAGGGTTTTTTTTAAAGTTTAATTTACTAGTCATATTTTTTCTATACAATTCTTTGTTTCAGTATTCGCAGCTCCCTTTGCTGAAATCTGCTAATATTGCAAGTTCTCAGGGCCTGCTCTTGAAAGATGCTGGAAATTTTGATTGCTCAGTATCATTCAGGATCAGACCTATATAGCATATGAAGCATTTCAAAATTGTTCCCTTCCTTCTCTATATGTGGCACAAACAGATGGAGTGAACACATTGCTGGTAGCCTGAGAACTGTGCACTCACTACATCCAGGTGTTTGTTTCCCTTATATTGGAAGCATATTATGGTCATTTATCATGGACCTTCACTCAGTTGCCACATGTGAACAGGAATCAGTACAATATTATCCTACTTTTAAAATAATATTGCAATAGAATTTCTCCATAATGTTTTCAACAGGTTTTTTTTTTTTTTTTGGCCATTATTTGATATACGGGTCCTTGGAACCTTGAAATTGAATATCAATTATCAATATTTTCTCCCTTCCATGACATACATCCTGGTGTGGTGTTGTAAAATTATTCCTCGGTGGTAGGTCACCCATGTGAAACCACAGCATTTTTCCACTCCCCTACATATATTTCAGATGGTGGATTGCAAGCACATATCAGAGGAGAAATAGGCCCAAGTGGCACCCCCACCCCCTTTCACAGATCTCAAAGAATGGCATGTAGCTGGGGGGGTCTCTGTATTTTGGGGTAAGTGGTTGGGCAGGAGCGGAGCTGGGAAATGGCCAGTCTGCATAGGATCACTCCCACCTCCAAACCTGTTGAATTTCCCACAGGAGCTCATTATAGCATTAACTTCATTTCCTAGCTCCATGCATTCTCTCCCCCTTATGGGACTGGGAGAGAAACGAGCACAGGCTGGGAACCTCTTGCAGCACAGTTCTTCCACTACAAACCCACAGAGGCAACTATAAACCAAAAAAGACCACTTGCGGGATTCTAAGTTAGTGTACTGGAACTTCTTCTAGGATAAAAAGTAGTTTTTACTCCAGTGAAAAGGCACATATAGGCTGAGCTGCATGCCCAGTCCAAAACAAATTTTCTATAACCTACTTGTTGGACAAAAAAAAAAAAAAAAAAATGTAACACTGGAACCCATATGGGGTATCATTAAACAGTTACAACCCATGGTCTGTGAAGAACGCATGCTGAAAGAAATCTTCCCATTTTCTGGCCTTCAAAAACTCCTCACAGTCCAAGATCCACAAACACAAAGCAGTACCAGACCTTGCTATAACAGATGCAAAAACCTGCAGACATCTCCATTGATACAATAATCAACACACCCTTCAAGATCCATGGGCCCTACACATACCTATCACAACATGTGGCAGGTCTCATCCAGTGCACTAAATACCCCAATAACAAATATGTGGGTGAAACCAGACAATCACTATACTCTCAAATGAACTCACAAACATGATAAAAGACAAAAACAACCTATCATCCATGTGTAAACACTTTTCACAAAACAGTCACTCCATATCTGACCTCTCAGTCCTCATCCTCAAAGGAAACCAGCACAACGCCTTCAAAAGATGAGCCCTGAAGCTTCAATTCATAACTTTGGTAGACACTAAAAATCATGTAACTAATAAAGACACTGGATTTATGGTTTATTACAACAATCCATAACCCACTAACCCTACTTTTTTGTCTTCTGAGTGCAGAGGTGTTACCTGGCCACATTACCTTGAATGGTCTTCTAATGTGTGTTAACTACTTATGCTAAACAATTTGTTCCACCTTGTATTTAGCTGTGAGACTCTGAGTACCTTTCCCAGACCTGAAGAGCAGCTCAAAAGCTTGCCTCTTTCACCAACAGAAGTTGGTCTAATAAAATATATTACCTCACTCACCTTGTCTCCTTGATATTTTGGGACCAACATGGCTACAACAACACTGCTGCAAACAAAAATCATTTTGCTGTGAAAAATGTGTTTATCCATTAAATTGTAGAATCATAAAAATGTATGGCTGGAAGGGCCCCAAGATGTCATCTAGTCAACCCCCCTTCGTAGAGCAGGACCAAATTAGCCTCGACCATCCCTGACAGGTGTTTGTCTAACCTGTAACCACCTCATAGCCACCTGTAACCACCTTGTAGTCTTATGCCTGCTTGTCATTTAGAGCCACATAGGCCACTTGGGAGCCTCCCCAATCAAAGTGGAGGGAGGCTAGCCACAGTGCCCAACTTTCCGTTCCAGCTTGCACCCTCTCAAAGGTGCCCAGGAGTGCACTTGGGCTGTCCATGGGACACATTTTATACAGACCCAGTCCCTGTGCCTGATTGCTGTCATATAAAGTCCTGCAGACCCTTTTCCAGCTCTTCCTGCCAGGTGAGCAATACCTGCCTCTCCAGATGGTGTGACTGCTGGAAACTTTGCAGAGTCTTCTACATCTTCCGTTGCTGTCTCGTCACCGTTGCCAGCAGGGGTGTTGAAACAATTTATATAGTGGGGGTGCTGTGAGCCATTGAACCAAACCCTAAACCATCTATAGAATGGAAACTACTTCGAGTCAGGGGGTCCTGCAGCACCCCCCACACTCCTAGTTCCAGCACCTATGATTGCCAGGTCTCCTACATTGTCTAAGCCATCTAACCCTTGCACCAGTTCAGATCCCGGACAAGTCTGCAGTGTAACAGCATGTCATCCCACTCCGGTCTGTTTTCTAGCCACAGCCTGCTCAGAGACCTTCTGGGCAAATACCTTGTGCACTTTATTTACAGTGTTCCCACCACCATTACAAACTTGCACAGCTCAGTATTTACAAGTATATAATCCTTAGCTCCCTCAGCCAAGGAGTGGAGAGACAGAAGGGCACTCCCCCTGAGGCTCTTTCCTGTCTCTGATTCTCAAAAGCTTTCCAGTATCTCTTTTCCCCACAAGCACTACTTTCCTGTGCCTTTTATACCTTTTGGGCTTATGGGTTAATTAGTCTTATAGCCCTTTATACTCCACCCCGAATCTATCAATTAGGCACACCTTTTCCCCTCCCATTTACTCCAGGACAATTTAATTGATGATCCAGTGATCAGAGTTATAGTACAGCTGCTGTTGCCCAGCACTCTGTTACACATACCGTCCCCTCCATCATCCAAGTCATTAATGAAAATATTGAGTAGGCACCAGACCCAGGAGAGACTCCCCCGGTACCCCTCCTCCCCATATGACAGTGAACCACTGATAACTATTCTTTCGGTGCAAATTTTCCACCAATCATGCACCCACTTTATAGCAATTTCATCTAGAAACCATTCCCTAGTTTGCTTATGATGTCCCATTGGACTGTGTCAAAAGCTTTACTAAAATCAAGATGATCACATCTACTGCTTTCCCCCCACCCCTCCATCCATTAGGCCAGAAATCCCAACAAAGAAGGAAAGGAGGTTGGTTTGGCATGATATTGACAAATCTATGTAGGCAATTTCTTATCACCTTATTATCCTCTAGATGCTTATAAATTGACTGTTTAACAATTTGTTCAAGTATCTTTCCAGGTATCGAAGTTAGGCTGACTGGTCTATAATTCCGTGGGTCCTCTTTGTTCCCCTTTTTAAAGATAGGCAAATATAACACCTTTCTCCAGTCCTCTGGGACTTCATGAGTCCTCCATAAGTTCTTGAAGATAATGGTTCTGAGATTGCTTCAGCTAATTCCTTAAATACCCTAGGATGAATTTCAGCAGGCCCTGCCAACTTGAATACATCTAAACTTATCTAAATATTCATTATCAAGTTCTTTCCCTATTAAAGCTTGTGTTCCTTCCCCCTTGTTGTTAATATTAATTGTGTTAAGCATCTGCTCACACTTAATTTTTGTATAGAAGACTAATGCCTATTTTGCTTCAAACACCTCAGCCTTCTTGGTGTCATCTATTATTAGCTCTCCTTCCCTGGAAAGTAGTGGACCTACACTTTCCTTCATCTTTCTATTGCTCTTAATATATTTATAGGACCTTTTCTTACTGCCTTTTATGTCCCTTGCTAGGTGTAACTTACGGTACTTGTGCCAAAGCCTTTCTGATTTGCTTCTGTTATTGAGTATTGTTTTGTACTTATCCTTAGCAATTTGTCCACCTATCCACTTTTTGCAAGGCTCCGTTTTGATTTTTAGGTGATTGAAAAGTTTCTGAGGCAGCCATATTGGCCTCTTGTTATATTTCCTTCACAGTGAGATAGCAAGCTGTTTTGTCTTTAATATTGTCTCTTTGAAAAACTGCCAGCTCTCCTGAAAATATGGTAACTTAGGCTCCACAGGATCATAAAACCTAGTATTGCATTAGGAGGATCATCCGACCTAGTATTGCATTAGGAGTAAGTGTTCTGTAGTTGAAGTTCCAATCCTATTACAGAAATTAATGTGAAGTCTAAAGTATTTATTGTTTCCTCCCATACACAGGAATCTGCAGCTTATAATGCTGTTAATGCTCTTCAGTCCGCTTATGGTATAAGATACAGATATGGCCCTGCTTCTAGCACTTTGTGTAAGTTTCTCTCATAAACTGGTTTGTTACTTTGACCTAGTTATGGTATATGGGGCGGCCTGTACTATAACAAAGGAAGCAAATCTTGTCTAAAGTGAACTTTGATCAAATTGTGGCAGGTGAGGAAGGCAGAGGGGAAGATGTAACTGATTAAATCCATCTGCAATGGCAGAGATCAATGCAACAGTTTCTAGAGAGAAAAGAAGAAAGACAAGGAACATGTCCAGTGAGCTGCAGTAAATTTTAGCCTACATAAAGATCAATAGAAAACTTCAAAACAGGATATTTAACAGTTAAATCTTGAGATTGAGAGAAAAATAATTCATAGTAAACATGTCCATGTTCTCGCTCTCTCCCCTTGTAATTGAGATATCACTGCACATGATGTTCATTCAGAAACTAAGGTGGTCTTTTTAAAAGCTGGATTTAGAATATCCCAGTTTCTCATTGAGAATAAATAATAGCAAGTGCATCTGTATTTGGAAATCTTTTTTTAAAAAAAAATGATATTGAATTCAAATGCTTATTCTTCCCCCAAGGGCAAAGGATCTTTAAAGCTTGGGTTTTAACTAACAATGTTTGTCAGCTGAGCTCTCTCAGGAAGTTAGTAAGGGAAAAGTTCAATAGTTTTTTACAACATAATATAAACTTTTCACTAGGACCCTTTGATTTGATAACCATTTGAAGACTGAATTTACTCAGTTAGGACAGGCTTAAAACAGCATTTTATAAACATAGCAAGATAGTTTTCTGTATTTCCTCTGCTACTGATACAGATGTGCTCAGTAAAGCATTTTTCACCTTTCCTCACAACTCACTTTCTCTTTGTGCTTAGTCCTTCAGCAGAGTGATAAGATTGTGTTATAACTATACAGTCTTGCCATGTCACAAGTATAGCATTGGGACTTAATGGTTAGGATCATATTGAAGAAAATAGGCTATAAAAGAATCTTTATCTAAGTATATATGATAATTAAAATATAGAGGCAAGGAAAAAGTATGAGGAACACATTTCTTCTGTGAGGTTTATCAGTGTTAACCACCATCCTTGCAAATGTTGTTATGCACTGAGCAAACCATGGAAAATAGAGAAGGGATGGAAATGATTTTTGGGGGGAAAAAAATTAAAGGAAAAGTTTAGTCTACTTCAGGGGTCGGCAACCTACGGAACGCGTGCCGATTTTGAGTGGTACGCTGCCTGTCCGGTGAGAGGAGGAGGAGGAGGGGCGTAGGGGCCGGAACGCACCAAGCTGTGGGAAGAAGCGGGGGAGGGGGGAAGCTTGGCTGCTGCAGGACCAAGCTTCTGCCTCCGCAGAGGAGAGCAGTGGGTGGGGGGGCTGAGTGGGGCGGGGGGACGGGACCCCCCCCCAGCTCCTTCCCCCCAGCATGGTGCATTCCGGCCCCTCCTCCTCTCCCTCCCTCTCCCTGCCGGCGATGGCCCTTGCGAAGGGGAGGGGGAGCGGAGCAGAGCAGAGCAGAGCCGAGCGGCAGCGTGCTCGCTGCTCCATAGAGCAGACAGAGAGAGGTAGGGACGGGCCTTGGGGAAGGGGGTGGAACAGGGCATATCCCTCCCAGCCCCCTGCCATGAGCCGCTCAGGGCAGGGAGCACCCCCATGAGCCGAGCACCCCAGCCTTCTGCCCTGCACCCCCCCCCAGCCCTCTGCCCTGACCTCGAGTTGCCCCCAACACCCAGCCTTCTGCCCTGCACCTCCACACACCCCCAGCCCTCTGCCCTGACCTCCCCCCAACACCCAGCCCTCTGCCCTGACCTCCCCACACCCCCCAGCCCTCTGCCCTGAACTCCCTCCAACACCCAACCCTCTGCCCTGCATCTCCACACACACCCAGCCCTCTGCCCTGACCTCGAGTTGCCCCCAACACCCAGCCTTCTGCCCTGCACCTCCAC